GTCACACACATAGACAATCACAGATTACACCCAAACTCACGAGAGAAATCAATGTAGGCCATACAAATATTTCTCCAGGCCCGGGAATCGAACCTGGGACCTCTGCGTGGCAGTCAGGTATGGTAACCGTTCGGCCACCGAGGCAGTTTTGAAACCTTAAGATCACGAGGTTACCTTATATTTCCTTTTTTTTTGTGAAAAGAGAAACGTTTTCACAATTTGCACATTTTCGGCAGTTACATTGTAAGTATTGGATTTAATGCTTTTTTCTTTTTTTAATAGAAAATTAGTACGTATTTGACTTCCATCCACCTAAAAGAAAGTGACTATGGAGCATGCACACCTGAATAATTCCTATTCATAATCGCGTTGAAAAGGCTCAAGTTATACCGTTCAGGGAACAAGTCTGCAGGCAGGAAATTCCACTCCCTAGCCGTTCGCCATATAAATGTGGAAGGAAACGCTTCGTACCATTCCTTGGAATATCCACAACAGGGATGGAACCTCAGCTTAAGTCTGGTCCCCCGATGATGGAAAGGGGAAGGCGGAATTAAATGGTGCAATTCCCTCGCACACTCTCCGTGATATATCCTGTAGAATACCGATAAGCAGGCGGTGTTCAAAGCTCTGCACCTTCACCTCTACTAATTCCGAGTCACCTTTAAGCCTCTTGACACGCTATTCAGCTGAATTCCAAGGTGACCAGCGCCACGTCTTTCTACATTAGTTTTGATTATAGTGACCCTCCCTGCCGACCCTGAGGGTATACGAAAGAAGGGCACTATAACCTGTGCGCGCACAGAAACCTTATAAGTTCAGGTTCTGATCCCAGATCAACCAGTGTACAGGGTTGTCACAGACCTCTGTCACTTGTCTTCATTCGGTTCCTCGAGAGGCTCGTGTCTCGGGTGAACCGCCACGGGTACAGTACAGGGCCGGTACCTATCTAGAAAATAGGGAGGCTATTTTCTAGATAGGTACCGGAGCTGTAGGCGCGCTCACTGCCCGTTGCGCATTGCACAACTAGCGGTTGCCACCGCTAACCTGAGTCCACTACCAAATCTCCTCATTGGTGGCGGACGCTCACTTCCCGACGCCAAAAAAAAACGACGTCTCTCCAGTTCCCAATAATGTTAGCGGATGGAGGGACCGGAGGATATCTAGCTTATCCTCTACTAGCTCTCCGGGCTAGTGCCGAAGAAGCCAGTCGCAGTGTCCTGCGACAATGTGCGGACGTAGCTTTCAACTTAAAGGGCAACTCACGTGCCCCGCCCGTCTCCTCACTTCATGCCCTCAACTAGACCGCTACTAAGACGCGTTAGCTGCTCACGAGATAGACGCCCCCGCCACACCCAACCGAGGCAGACATATATGTCCGTCTCTGCAGCTTACCACAAACCCCAGCGAGTTCATACCCAAGTCCGGGTCCACCTGAGACGCCCGCAAAGGCGTATGACTGGCGGAGGGCTGGCCTCGGAAGCCCGCTGTACCCTGGTCTTGTCGTCGAACCCGTAGTCTCACCGGAAAACCCTATCTGTCGTGTCGGTAGATAGGGACAAGGTGACCAGATGATATTTAGCAGAACCATCTCATATCACTCCATACGCGACTGGACTTGTGCTTGGTACAGTTAAAGCAAGTCCCGATGTGAAGTAACGCCTCACCCTGGAAAGGAAGCTTCCTGGCTGCATTTTTGGCTATGGATTCTATGTAACTGCCGAAGTTTACTCTGACGACAGGTCCATTCTAAGTAGCTGTTGATTTAATTATTGTTGAAACATGTAAAGCTATTAAAGAAGTGCAAATTTAGTGTACTTCAAAATTCTTATAAGAGCACTTATTCTTCCCAGAGCTCAAATTATTTAACTCAATATAAAATATATTCCTCTTACTCCACCTTACTATAATTAATGTTTTGTAAACGGCATTTTTACTCAGGTACATAGTGTGTAATTTTTAATATCTTGTTAACCACTGCGGGCTATGTCAGAATATGAAAACGATGTACTCCATAATCCTTGCATACTCTTCTGACTTGTTCGTTTTATTATTCATTTGTATTTACCTTTTTCTTCATGCTAAATAAAGTCATTTCGATGTAGATTATCGAAATAAGGTTATACCGATACGTATTTCGACTAGTAACCTCTTTAGTGTAGGACTATCACGACACGGTGCGACTAGCGCACACGTCGCTCCCGCGCTAGTCGCTCCCTGTCGTGCTAGCCTTCGTATGGTACAAGATAAAAATGAAGCCGGACTTTCGAACTCAGGATATAAACTACATACACATTTACCTGTTCAGCAGTTACGACGTAATTGTGTTTCATAAGATACGCCACAGGCATGCAATAGAATTAAAACAAACGCAAGATATTTAAAAGGTAAAATTACAAATTAATAGTTTAGAAAAGATGACAGTCCAGCATGATAACCGTTCAGCCACTAAGGCAGTTAAAAAAGGGTTGATGATGATAGAAACGATGAGTCTAAAGCCATTATGTCAATTGTAATTCGCAGCCTTGATGTAATAAGGTCACATCTGCGAAATCACAACTTCTCAGAAGAGAGTTTTAAAGATTCTACGATCGAAATTACTCAATCACTCTTTATGTTTAAATAGGAGTTATAAAATTACATACACAGTTTGTTTCGCGTAGTTCGTATTATTTTTATAACCTTCATATGCTTAGAATAATAACGCATAGAAACCTAGCCCGCACACGCTAAGTGAGGCAAGTTAGAGGGTTCCAAACGCGTCCCAGGAGCGCGCGGGCTGTTAGTGCTCAAGGTCATATTGCACCGCGAACAGCTCCAAAATTTTTTGCTAAAAATGACGAAATGTGCGGTAAATGGGTGTAAAAATACAACAGACAAACATAAAATAGACACTAACATCGCATTCCACAAGTAAGTAATGCGTTTCAACTCATATTTTTATGTAAATATTCACTAAAACAGAAAAAT